TGCAGGCCACTGAAAAGACCCAGTGGAACAAGGCTCTAGTGGTAAAATTACAAGCAGAATGACAAGTAAATGGGGAGCCATGTGACAGCAAGGGGACCCTGTGTAACCCCCTCCCTCCCCTCCCCGCCCCCCCACACACATACAAAGGGCCCTTCTCACCTCCATCCTCCCAGCACCACCTGCACACCAGCCCCTCTGCTCCCGGCAAACCGGAGCTAGGCTGGACCTTTAAACAGGGGAAAAATGCTTCATCATGTTCTGCTTCTCCACGCAAACCCAGAAACTCCCTGCCCCCTCCTGCCTCCTCCCCAGCGCACTCTCCTTCCAGTAAAACCCGGTTAAAGGGACAGCACCATCGCTTCCTTCCGCATTGCTCAGGGTCTGCTCGCGAGGGGGGCGGGAGGGGCTGGGAATAAGGCGGAAGGCACGAAGAAAAGAGCTGGCAGAGGACTTTTCTGAGGGGTCCGTCTGTCCCCATCTTGGGGGCCTCCCCGCAGAAGGAAGGCCAGCGCATACTGGAGAGGTAGTGGGGGTGGAGATAACTGGCTAAGGGAGGCTCAGGTCTGAGAGCGAAATCTACCCGGACTCTAGGGGACCCCTTCCTTCCCACAGCATTGGCTCCCAGTGGAGGAGGCGGACAGCCCAGGTGTGTGTAAGAGGACTTAACAGGAAACAGGGGACCGGACGCCTACCAGAAAGTCCAGGGGCCGGGTCCTGGGCTCCCTTTGAGACCCTGCCAGGCCATTCGTTCACGCTCTCCTTCCCAGGTCCCCATCCGCAGGGCCCCAAAGGTCGGGTAAAGGGGATCTGCACACCTCCTTCCCCTCCTCCCCACAAAGCCGAGGCGGAGAGGTTAACCCTTTCCTCCTGGACAAGGAGCGGACGCTGTCCCCGGTGCTGAAGCACCATCTGCAGTGCGGCCGGCACTCGCCAGGCTTTGGAAATGAGCCCAAAGGAGAAAAAGTTAAATGACAAGGCAGTTCCAGGCACCCTCCTTCGCCCCCCCCCCCCCCGCAGCTCAAGGACCCCTTTTTACACCTGACCCTCCAATCGGGCTTATGGGGGTGCGGGGCTTTGGTATCTAACAGCATCCCACCACTTCCCTGGGGGTGAGAAGGGGTGCCTATGGGGCACCCACTTATCTGTTGTAGGGGTGCGGGGGGAGAGATGCTGAGTGGAAGGTGAGGAGATGGAAAGGGGGAAACTAGGAAGATGGAGTTGCTGACTTCCTAGTTGTGGGAAAGCAGCGGTGGGGAGGCGGCACACGGGTTCCTCTCCCCTAATCCAGCCAGAGCTCACCCCTCCCCACCCCCCCAAGCTGAAGCTGCCTGGGGAGCTAGGGGTCTGAAGTTGCAGCCTGAGGTGGGTGGTGAGGGCGGGGCGGACAGCTACAACTTGTCCAAGGTCATGTGGCCAGCAAACGGGAGCGACCTCAGTGGGAAGAGCCTGGCCGAGTGACCACTCGCTCACGTGTCACTCTCTCCCTCCCTCCAGCACCCCCCTATACAGGCACCAGCTCTCCCATTTGCATGCCCCGTCCCCAGCAGCACCCCCACTCTGGGTTTCCGGACCCAGGCTCCCCTGGTCTATGCAGGAGACCCTCTGCCCGCTTCACGGAGGGTCCTTCTCACTGGGGCCAGCTCACCTTCTGTCCTGCTGAGACCACTGGGCCCCCTCCTCTGGGCTTCACTCTCGTTGCCCCCCCCTCAACTCCAGGCTCCCTCCCCTCTTCTGGAGGGGCTGCCGAGCTTCTTGAGCCCTTAGCTGCTCCGGGGAACACTGACACTCAACGCAGAGGTCCTCGATTTCCAGCCTCCGCAGCGTCCGCCCTGCCTCCACTCAGGATTGCCTCGCTCCCTCCTCTGTTCCCCGGCGGCTGCAGACACTCTGCACCCCTTCCCCCGAGGCCTCTCTATTAGGAACACCCTGTGCCCCGGTCTCATGCAGCAACCCCCTCATCCTACTGACTATCGAGTGTTCCGTCGCTCCATCCCTAAGGCGCCCTGCCCCTCTTCCCAGCAGCTCTCCTTGTCCTCTCCGCGTTTCACCCCTTTTCTTATTCTGAAAACAGTAGCAGGGTCCTCCGATGCGCACCCGGGGGTTCCCGCCGGCCCACTCTGGGAATCCTCTACCCCCGGACCTGCCCTCGAGGCGGGGGGGCTCT